GGTTCATCAGAGGTATAGTTGCATATTTCAAGGATGGTCAGGTCTATAAGTTGCAATAATATTTTTTTAAGGATCTTCAGATCACTAAGGATGTCGTTTTTTAAGAGTACTGGTTCAAGGATCTTCAGAACTGTAATGGTGTGAATATTTCAAGAATAGTGGTTCAATTTTGGGTTTATTGATATTTTTTCAGTGGTCATTAGACTTGACGGGTTTTTGAGGAGATTTTTTTTTCAAGGATTATCACAGCATCATCTGACTATAAAGATATTTTCTATGAACCGTCCGATTTACAAGCGTGGGCTGCAACAAATATTTTTTACTGGGATCATCACATTTGATGAATATTTTTCAAGGATCAATAGTTTTATACGAGTAGAATTTTTTTTCTAGCGGTCATCAGATCTACAACTGTGGGTTTTGAATGCATATTTTCATATATCATTAGACCTACAAGTGCGGATAGGTCATCAAACTTTTTATAGTGGGTTTATGAAGAACATTTTGAAGGATCGTCATATCTCTAAGGGTGGGTGTTTTTATGAATACTGGTTCAAGGTTCTGCAGATCTTTAATTGTGGAAGGATTATCATACCTTTAAAATTGGGTTTTCAGGATATTCTTCAGGTATTTTAAACTGTAATCATGGGGTGTGTATCATATTTTTTTAATGGATTTCAGACTTATAAATGTGGGGTTTTTTAGTTAGAATTTGTTCAAGGACTAACTAAGGCGTGGATTTTATTAAAGAATATTTTTGGAGGAACAACTAAGGCGTGGATTTTATTAAAGAATATTTTTGGAGGACCAACTAAGGCGTGGATTTTATTAAAGAATATTTTCTGGAAACCTACAAGGCGTGGATTTTCTGTAAAGAATATTTTCTGGAAACCTACAAGGCGTGGATTTTCTGTAAAGAATATTTTCTGGAAACCTACAAGGCGTGGATTTTATTAAAGAATATTTTTGGAAGGCGTAGATTTTATTAAAGAATATTTTTGGAAGGCGTAGATTTTATTAACGAATATTTTTGGAAGGCGTAGATTTTATTAACGAATCCCAGTGATTATATTAGTTCCAAAGTATTTTATTTTGAAAAATGTTAACTTCTCTACATATTCGATGGTATAAAATTAACATTTTATTGCTATTCACCCTAACGCATTATCAACTAATCAAATAAAATATATAAAATGTGTAACAACAAAGCACATATGAGGAACATCTTTAATAGGAAATACATGTTCCTCCTCAACTTCCTCTGCCGAATGAAAGAAATTACCAGACAGTGTTATTGACAGTTAATCACAACGATATGTCGTTGTGACTTTGAATGATTTGTTCATCCAGATGCCGTCACAGTTGCTGGCAAATCGCAATCACATCAAATTGGTATTTATTTGTACATGTGTTCCCATTTCAGGCATATCAAGAGGTAACAATTTCTGAAAGTAATAGGTTGGTTCGATTTAGTAAGTATTCAAGTATTTAAATTGAATTTAATGTACAATCACAGTCAATATTTTTTGAAACATACAGTTGGTGCAACATCTTATCGCATGTGCAATTTCGTATTATGGAGACCCCCATAACCATTCACGGTGTTAACAAATTTTTTTGATTCAATTCGAATCTAGTCTAATTATATAATGTCCCTACAAAATTTCAAATGAAAAGCTCAAGAACTCTTGAAGACATAGCCGATTTATTGTGTCAGCATCAAGTGACGGCAAGAGTGATTCTAAAACTTTAAACGCATTTTTCTCGAATCAGTGTTTTACGAATGGCGGGCACAATAACTCAAAAACTAATAAACCAATCGGTTCCAAATTTTGAAGCGTTTCTCTTGGAGTGTATAGCTCTCGTATGAACTAAGATAAAACCAATCGGTGAAGATCTTCTTTATTTTTTAACTTAGTTTGTGGTAAAAAATAGGCGATTTTCCAAAAAAATATTTCAAAGCTCCGCCATTTTATTAATTGTTGTGCGAAGTCAATAATCCTAGTTCATACGAGAGCCAGACATGTACTCTTTCTAACACCGTTGGAATTTTCCAATTCCGATGTTCCAGTGAGGAGTTATCATGCCCGCCATAAAAATAATGACTTTTCTTTGATCACAAAGAACAACAAGAAACAATTTTTGTAAATTATTTTTCTTACAAACCTTAATACCAATGCTTGTGTATTCATTTAACAGTACATTTAAAATCTTAAAAATAACAAGTGAAAAAGCGTTTGGATACCCTCCACTATAGATATACTGACATGTACTTGAAATAAACATATAGGGAAATACCAAAAAGCGGAGTCATACCGACATTTCTACAAACCGTTTATGTAAACCAAGATACAAATTTCAGAAATTTTTAATGGATAATTATACCCTCAGCCATGCTGAAAATAAGCCTCATCGAAATATTGCTTCTAGACCCTATGTTTCCTTGGATCCAATTTGTTTCAGAAAATGTTGATTTCATCCAAAATTTGCCCATCTTATTATTTCTTCCAAACTTTGCTCAAGTTCCAAAATGGGGAATATCGGTCCACTCCATCTGGTACCTCCCACAGAGGGGCTAGGCCTAAATGCGGGTTATAGTTCATTATCGAACCTTACGTTCTAGTTTTTTTTTCGGTTGCAATCATTTCACCTGCGGAGGATATCGACTCCGCAGGTGAAATGATTACAACCGAGTCCTAAAACCAAACCCAAAATGCGGAACAAATTAGATAATTATTTTAATATTAATATAATAATATTTCAGCACCCGATCTCAATTCCTTCAGAAAAAAGCGTGAATACAACAGGGTCTGCTATATGGGGACTAACCCAAAAAGGGGGCGAATGTTAATAATTTTTGGCATACGACTACAAAATACCACATTGCAACGCATTCGGCAGAAAAACGCTCTCAAGAACCCCAAAATACCAAAAAATTTTGGTACCCTTATATGGGGGCTATCCAAAAAAATGGACCTTTAATAATAATTTTGTTGTGGAGAGATTTGGTACCTATTAAGAACTCAGAATACTAAATTGCAGCAAACTCGGTGGAAAAATAATATACAAATACTGAAAATTAGGAGGTATCGTTATATGGGGGCTACCAGAAAAATTGGACCTATATTTATAATTTTTTGTGGAGACATAGTACCCAATACGATTCAAATGTACCAAATTTCAGGGAATTCGTTAAAAGGGGACTACCCCTAAAAGGGGGTGAATATTAATAATTTTTGGTAGGGAGATATGTTACCATATACGACTATAAAATAATAAATGACAGCGAATTCGGTTGAAACCCGTGCTCAAGAACCCCAAAATACCGAAAATTGGAGGGTACCCTTATATGGGGTCTACACGAAAAAATGGATCTATATTTATAATTTTTAGTGGAGAGATTTGATACCCAATAAGAACTCACAGTACTAAAGTACAGGCAATACGGTGAAAAATCTGGTCAAAACCCCCCAAAAACTGAAAATTAGGAGGTACCGGTATATGGGGACTACCAGAAAAAGTGGACCTATATTTATAATTTTTAGAGGAGAAATTTGGTATCCAAAAAGAACCCATTTTACCAAATTTCATCGAATTGCGTTGAAAAATTCGCTCAAGAACCCTCCATACTATAGTGGAGGGTATAAAAAGCAATCTCAAAGTTAAATCCTCTAAACAAGTTCTGTCAAGTTCATTGTAAAAGCGACTACCATTAAATACTAAAAATCAATTCACAAATTATGGCCTGTCTCCATACCCATTACATTCCGATTTATACATTTTTCATTCAAGACAATAATAAAAAATTGAGAAAAAGGAATGAGAAAAAGTCAATCTTTGTCATATTTAGCCAGACATTTGGTGGATTTTCTTTTGAGTGAATCATTGGAAAGATTATAAAAAAGTAATTCGAGCGAAAAGAAACAGAATGGCAAATATGTTGCATACAGATATATTTGTTCGTTTGTGTATATGTACTGTATATAACCAATGACTTCGACATAACCATCATAAACGTCATTATTGTAGTATCAGTATCCGTATCAGCCAAACTGCCATCAGATTCAGTGCTAGCTTGGCAAATGCTAGTGAACATTTCCCTGGGGCGGTACAGTGGAACGAAACAACAATAATTTAACAAATTAGTGGATTAATATCTTATTTGCAATTTTCTAAATGTGATTTGTCCAAAACCAAACCACCGGAAGCTATGTGAGGATAAATGGTTAAAGATTTATACCGATATCTTTTACTATATTTATAGCCTCCAACATTAAATGGAGTGTGTATTAAAAGTGGCACTTCGTTTGTAAAAATCTGAAATATACGTAGGAGTTCCCATGACGTATACAGGGTGAGATGAAAAAACTGTAATCAACTTTAGACTGCTGTCATTTCTATGCCACTTGATCGACAGCTGTTAAAATTATTCCAGTGGCAGCTCATTATATTGTTTACAAGCGTACAAAAGCATTTTGGTGAGAATTTTCCAGAAAAATGTTATTTGTGATGGAATTCAAGCGTTATAGTGTAATTTCTTTATATTTGGCTGGAAAACCATAAGTGGCTATCGTTAGAGCACTCCAGCATTTAAATATGAACATCAGCAGAAATGGTTCAAAAAGTAAAGAAGCAACTTGATCGAAACCCGTCGCGTCGCAGTGGCCGAAAAATGACTTGTGAGCTAAACATATCACAATATTCTATTCGGCAAATATTGAAAAATGAGCTCGGGGTAAACCATTGAAATTCGAAAAAGTGCGAGAACTTCCAACGCAACAGAAAGAAAATAGACTCAAAAGAACTAAAGTGTTGCTTCGCTTGGCCGAAAGTGGTGAACTGCCAAATTTGGTATTCTCCGATGAGAAATCATTTGTTGTCCAGCAGTTTGTAAACAACCAAATTTTTGTGTTTACTTGCCAAAGAGGTCAGCTGAAAATGTGCACCTTCGGTTGGCCAGTAGAACTCAAGCGCCGGCCATAGAACTAGTAGCCGGCCGCCATAACAGCCGATGGTAGCTCGTATTTATCGACCGTGGCATAAGAATAAATGCCGAATATTGTCACGAAAATATTCTGGAGGGAATATTAAAATCTTGGACACGCAAATATTTTGGCCACAGACCTTGGACATTCCAACAGGACTCAGCACCATCGCACTCAGCACGCGCCACCCAAGAATGGTTACAAAATTAGGTTCCTCGCTTCATTTCCAGAGCACAATGGCCACCAAAATCTCCGGATACAAATTCGTTGCAATATTGTGTCTGGAGCATTTTGGTAAGCAAGGTTGGCACTAAAAAATACCAAAGTGTCGATCACCTCAAACAAGCGCTTCGTAGGGAATGGGCCAAAATACCGCTGAGCAACATTCGGGCAGCGTGTGACGGTTTCATTGGCCGTCTGAAGGCCATAATTCGTGCCAAAGGTGACCAATTTGAATTAATTTAAATTTATTCTAAAATTTCCGACTGATATTTCTGAAATTTTTTGCTTTCATTCAATAAAATAAAAAAAAATGTAAAAATAAATGAAAACCAGTGAGCGGAGCAGTATAGTGGGACTGGGCCGACTATGCGATACCCTACACAACTACCACGGAACTCAAATTTTCTGCGGATGTATATTCCGAGCCTGGGCAATATTTCGTGATATTTACCCCTCTTGACCGATTCCTCACACTGACATATTTTCCGAATATTACGAGTATTCAGCACAGCTATTGTCCAGATTCCCTTCACCGTGGGTTGTGTTGTGATGTTTGGCTTTCATTTGTGGTCTATAGATCGACTCGATAATAACACAAAAAATTAAGTTTTCGGTCCACTTCATTCCAAAATTATTATCTGATCATCACCGAAAATTATTGGCGTTGTCCTTGACCATAACTGGAACCTCATGGAACATTTCAAAGCGATCAGCGCTGTAGTTCCGCTCTCTAGAGCAAATACGCTCTCTAAATAATATACGAATACGGAGATAAGTGTAAATATTTAGGTGTAACTCCCACATCCGGGAACATACAACAATATAATTGGTATTAATTTAAAGGTCAACCACTCCTCTTGGATATAATATAAACTTCTCGGGTCTATGTCCTTCAGGGGTAAATATATACGCTATATAATACAAATTTTGTCATTTTTCACTCAAAAGTCAGGGTCCATTTGACCCGCTAAATATTGACCGATCTTTTTGAAAACAGGCATGCTTATTCTTTGGCCTGATCCCCTTCTCCATGGAAAATTTCACGATGTTTGGGTCATTATTGCGGCCTCTGGAGCGACCAGAAAAACCGACAAAAATTTAGTATTTGGTCCATTTCATCCCCTAAATATTAATCGATCTTTCCCAAAAACAATAGGGGTCTTCATTGGGAAAAACCCATCCTACATGCAAAATTTCGTGAAGATTGATCCATAACAGTGGCTTGTATCGTGTTTACAAATTATAATGGACAGGCGCACGGACGGACACACATGTCTAGATCGACTCAGCTAGTCTAGATATGACGATCGGCATACTTAAAGGTGGGTCTAGGACCAATATTTCGCGGCGTTACAAACTCTTGGGTCTGCACAAAGCTATAATACCCTGACAACATAGTTGTGTAGGGTATAAAAATATTTATAGCCTGACCAGAGTAAAAATCTATGTTTAACCATGTCTATTAAAAATATCATAGGGCTCAATATGTCCATGCCCCAGATTTGAATAGTGGTTGAATATATCGGCCACGTTTTGAAATTGCCATTTTTAAACCATAAAGCCTCTTTTTCCATTTTCGGTATGTAGAAAATCCTAGCCGTAAGTTGGCTGTACAGGTTCTTGTTGGATAATTTGATTTTATCGAAGAATGTTTTCAATGTATATCCGTGTTTTCACTTAGTCCATATTGTCGGAATGTTGAAAACCCTATTCGTATATTCCAATCAATGCGTAATTATTATAAACTCATTTTTATGGGTCTAGTCAATTTGTACTCCATTTTCTCAGATAGTAAAAATCCCCTGGCAGGTAATTTACAAAAGTCTATAATTTGAAATTCCAATACCATGATTTATTGTACTAAATTTTGTACAATATAGTACTATAGTAGTAGAATTTGAAAGGCCACCATTAATTCTCAACATTTTTAGCGATTCACATAACAAAATTCAATACTATAGTACCATGTAGTCTTTTTTTCTACTTATAGAGGGAATGTCACAAAATCACGAATTCACCGAATAGTCCGACTTCTCCCCACTGTACACAGTGTATAACGCATATAAAATAATTATATGACAGTAAATGATTTAGTCGCTGAGTAAAATGTGAGCAAAAGTAGAAAACCCCCAAAAAGGACTTGGCCTCGTTGGATGAATGGATGTGGTGTGTGTGTGTGCGTACAACATCTGTTTTAGACATCTTTTAATAAAAATTTCATCTTTATTACAAAACAATTGTTTTATGGTTGTGTGTGTGAGAGAGGTTGGATGTATGTATGCGTGGGTTTGCCTGCCAAGGCTGCTGTGATGACGATGATTGTAAATGTGCGTTAAAAAAATCATCCATCCAATGGCGACTACTAGACCAACAGCAGCAACCATTCAACGACATCTAACAACTTTTTATGACTAACTTTGATTTGAAAAGCTACGAGCTGACGCACACACACACATACAAATACATCTATAGACATCAAGTAAGGGGAGGTTAAATTTTTGTGTTTTGTGCCATAAGTTAAACTAACTTGCCTCTGAAGTGTTAACAATAATTTGGTCATAGAGGGAAAATATGGAAGAAGGACCATTCTGAAAATGGTCCAGGCAGCAACATCAGTCGACCATCGTTGGCGGGTGGTCACAAGGAAGTAATTAAAATGTTACATTATTATAATTTTATACGTATAATCATCAACAGCAGGACAATCTTGACGATGTGGTATGAATGAATTATGAGGTGAGAGAAAATTTTATTTTGATGTCATTTAAGAACTTTGATGAAATGAACATATTTCGTATTTCATCAAATATTGACAGTTTCGGAAGAAGTAGACTGATAGGTAGCATCATTGGAAATGACTTGGTCCACATAAAAGCATTACAATGTAAATGTTCTGGATCAAAACCAGCACTTTTAAAATGTGGATGCGGTACCAGAAGGCGAAGGTATCGAAATGGTGTATTTTGGACTTGATATAGGTTTGGTATAAATATTACTATTTCAAGTCCGAGTCCCATTGTTTTACTCTTCAAATTATGGATCATTTCATACCGGAGGCTTCATGAGGTGTGGGCAGGGTCATCTCTTAACAATTTGAACTGATTCGTACAATTTAAATATATAAAGCTCGCATATATACATATATATTTTATCCGATGCTACTGATCCCCAAAAGAAGCTACTTATGTTCGATCTTCAAAAATTTGTTGCTGTATACTAGCAACACCAACAAAGTCGTTGTGTGCATTTGTCGCGATGTGACAACACACAACAGTGGAAAGGTATGGAATTGTTTGTAAATGCCTTGTTAACCTCGAAGTGAGGCACCAGCGAAATTCTCATGCAGTTTATGTCGTTGGTCAGCTAAGTTCTTCGCTTTGTTACAAGAGACATTTGGGTATGAAAAGTTTTTTGTATAGAAGCAATAGCTTCTGGGAAGAATATCCCAACAAAAAACTAAGGGAACTGATGAGGATCAGTGGCGTGATCCGAAACTATAGTCTTCCCTGCCTTACCCCTCGTCAAACAATACCATACATTCCCCACTAATAAATAGTTGTTTTTTTATAAAAACAACAAACTGGGATTCAGCCTGACTATTTTGAAAAACAAAATACAAATGGTATCCCAAATAAACCGTCAACACTACTGAATTTAACAAACATTTTGTTATTCATTAAACCCTGCACCACACTGTGGTACAGTGTATTATGCCTTTGCGTATATGTTTGTAACAGGCAAAAGGAAACGATATAGACACATGGTTCCTATTGAGAATATGCATAGAATCACTTTTTAAGTCGATTTATGCATGCTCCCATATATATTTTCGTCCGATTTAATATAAATGGTGTACCAAAGTCCCTATATATCTTTCGATGTGCACAATATTTGGCATACCGTAAATAATTAAGTCTAGAAAGATGTGTGACAAGTTTTCTTAAAATCGGCCCAGATTTAGATATAGCTCCCATAAATATTTTCGTCCGATTTAATGTAAATGGTGTACCAAAGTCCCTATATATCTTTCGATTTGCACGAAATTTGGCATACCGTAATGAATTAGGTCTAGAATGATGTGTGCTATATTTCCTGAAAATCGGTCCACATTTATATATAGCTCCCATTTATATTTTCGTCCGATTTAATATAAATGGTTTACAAAAGTCCCTATATATCTTTCGATGTGCACGAAATTTGGCATAGCGTAAAGAATTAAGTCTAGAATGATGTGTGGCAAGTTTCCTTTAAATCGGTCCAGATTTAGATATAGCTCCCATATATATTTTCGTCCGATTTAATGTAAATTGTCCAATCGGAACACAATTTTGCTCTACCTACTGAAGTTACTATAACATAACGTGTGGCAAGTTTAGTTGAAATCGGTTTAGATTTCGGTATATATAGGTCCTTCAAAAATTCGACGTCTGTTAGGATTCATCTGTTGGATATACCCAAAGTGGTGAAGGGTATCATATAGTTGGCCCCGTTCGACTTTGCTACTTTCCTTACAGGTTTTTCCTTTTGACATGATGTAATAGATAGGAAATCTGTGAGTATTAAGTCAGAGCTGAACGGATGATGAGCCATCAATTGTAGGTACGTTTTGGGCGATAAAAAATATGTTTCTTTGATCCCATGTGGCGTAGCTCGAATTGTCATGATTGTGGTTCACCTCTCAAAAATATCCTCCCATATTTGTTGAAGCGGAGCAGTCAAAGAAAAATGTGAGTTTTGCATCAAAGGGGTTTCCTTCGGGAATTTTCCGAAGGATTTGCCCTCGAAACTTCACATGGTCGATTGTTTTTTTTTTCGATATAATACAAATGGATACATAATTTGTTACTTGTGTCGATCTTATAAAGATCATCCGAGGCACTTAAATATGTATGCATTGTGGGGGTCCATGGAGAACAAGGTATGCTGGTGGATGAAATGTCAATGGATGCCTATTTTTAAGTGGCATAATGTCGTCCGTCGTCGTTGATCGAACATCGCCACTATTGAATTCTTTGAAGTGGATTTCTACATTAACAAAATCTTTAATGAATTTGGTCAATATGGGATCATATTTTAACATCCACATAAAAGTTCCGCCCAATTTTAGATAAGCTGAGGGTACGAGGGCATAACCCAAACGAAGTGGCTGTATTTTATGATTCCGGGTTATCTTTGCAGTGTCGGTATTA